ATTTTAGGCTAATTGAAAAAATTGCTTCATCTTCCAGAGTTCATCTGTCAGCAGCACTTAACCAGAGCACCATCTCCTGGTCCTTCTGTTCCTCCTGGAGGATTTTAATGTCATTCCACTGTAAATGCTGTTGAATGTATTTTCTTTTTGAACAATAATATATTGTGAGTGATCCCTCTTCTCCTTCACGGAAATAAAACTTGGATTCGGGAGTTTTAAAAGCCGCGGTGCTGAGATGGTCACTGCTTCCCCAGGGCTGCAGGTGGGAGGGTCCTGGAGGAGCCCTGAGGTGGGTGAGCTCTTGGGGGTGTGGGGGGCAGAGGAGGGACCATGGGAGGTGACCAGGGGAGGAGGAGATCCAGGGAGTGTTGTTCAAAGGAGAAAGTTGCCCAGAGGATAAGGAAATCCAGGAAAGTGGTTGTTCAGGGAGGGAGGAGGATCTGGGAAGGAGATGTCCAGGGAAGGTGGTTTGGGGGGCAGGAGGTGGCCCAGGGGAGGACATGGCCCAGGGAAGGTTGTTCAGAGGAGGAGGTTGCCCAGAGGATGAGGAAGTCCAGGGAAGTGGTTGTTCAGAAAAGGAGAAGAATCCAGAGGGAAGTTGCCCAGGGGAAGAGATGATCCAAGAAAGGTGGTTTGGAGGGGAGGAGATGGTCCTTGGATGGTCCAGGGAAGGTGGTTTGTGGGGCAGGAGACCAGGAGAGGAGTTGATACAGGGGAGGATTTTCAAGGCAGGAGGCGTCCAAAGGGAGGAGGTCCAGGGAAGCAGGAACATGAGAGGTGGCCCAGGTGTAGGTGCCCATGGAAGGAGGTTCTCTGGGAGCAACAGCATAGAGGAGAACCAGGGAAGGGGTTGCCCAGGGACGAAGGAAGCCGGGGAAGGAGATCATGCGGGGACAGGGATGTCCCAGGGGAGTTTGTCCAAGGGAGAAGATGGTGGCCCAGGGGAGAAGGAACAGGGAAGGAGGAGCAGGAGAGGTGGCTCAGGGGAAGGTGCCTGGATACGGAGATTCCCTGGGGATGGTGGGAAGGAGCTGTCCCAGGGGACTGTGTGTGGGGCAGGAGGAGGCCCAGGGGAGCTGGGGGAGGGTCTGAGCAGGGGCTGGGGCGGGGGACGGGAATCCCAGGCAGGCTGAGACTGGTCCCTGCGATCGTTGCCAGGAGACAGAGACACACAGCGCTGCCCGTCCTGGTCCTGCCTCTGCTGCTGCTGCCCTGCCTGCCCCAGGTGAGCACGAAGCGGGGCTGGGCTGGGGGACCCCGGCCCTGGGACCCCCTTGAGCCCCGCTGAGCCCGGGGGGGTCCCCGCCTGCTCCGGGTGCGGGCAGCGGGAGTGAGGACCCGGCAGCGCCCGGGGCAGCTCCCGTGCTGGAATCTTGGCTTTAAGGAAAAGCAAAGCTCTGTCCCCCATCACCCTGCGGCGGGGCCTCGGCCCGGGACGGGGGTGGGCCGGGCTGTGTCGGGCTCGGTGTGTTCGCTCTGGAGCCCGAGGAGTCCATGGACCTCTCTGGAGTGGGTTCCCCTCCCCGTGCCCTGTGCTGCAGGCTGGGGGCAGCCACGGAGCTGCAGGATGGTGTTTTCCAAGGCCAGAAGTGTAGTCAGGGTCACACAGGTGCCCAGCTCTCCCGCAGCCCCGGGCCAGCACACCTTTGCTTCTGGCACGCTTGTCCTGCTCCTCCGGGGAGCTGTTTGCCAGCCCGGGGTGCTGCCTGTCCTGCCCGTCCTGCCTGGACACCCGCCCCCCCGGGAGTTTTTGGCCAACCCCCAGGGCTTTGGGACTCTCGGCAACTCTTTCCTGTTGCAGCACTGGACCCTGGGAAGCAGCTGGAGTTTGCAGGATCCTGGGCAAGGAAACACCAGGACGGTGCGCTGGAATCCGCTGATGCCCCGCTCAGCAGGGGACGGGGTGGGAAGGGTTGTGGGGCTGAGATGTGGGGCTGCAGCGGGACCACGCGGGGCTGATGCAGCAGCAGCTCTGGGGCGCTCCTGCCTTGTCCCCCCGTGAACTCCCCGTTCCCCTTTCCCCCCCTGCAGCCTCCAGGTGTGGGTGTGCTGGGCACCAGCAGCAGCACAAACAGAGACACCCTTCCCAACACTGTCCTCGCTGGCTCCGGGATGGCTGGTGAGAGGCAATGGGGCACTTTGGGGCTTCCTCAGCTCTGCTTTGCCCCTCAGCCCCCTCTGCCCACCCCCTCTCCAGCTCTCCTGCAGAGCAATGCCTGGCTGGGAATGATGCTGGGACAGAGGGACATGGAGCTGGGAAGGGGCTGGAGCAGCAGGAGAACTGAGGGAGCTGGGGGGGCTCAGCCTGGAGAAAAGGAGGCTCAGGGGGGACCTTCTGGCTCTGCAACCCCCTGACAGGAGGGGGGGAGCTGGGGGGGTTGGGCTCTGCTCCCAGGGAACAAGGGACAGGATGAGAAGGGAACAACCTCAAGCTGTGCTGGGGAGGGTCAGGTTGGACATAGGGGAAAATTTCTTTCCCAGAAGGACTGTCCAGCCCTGGCACAGCTGCCCAGGGCAGTGGTGGAGTTCCCATCCCTGGGGGGATTTAAAAGCCGTGTGGATGTGACACCTGGGGACATGGGTCAGTGGTGACCTTGGCAGAGCTGGGGAATGGTTGGATCCAGTGATCTCAGAGGGCTTTTCCAACCTTGCCAGTTCTGTGGTTCCATGATTCCGCAGCCAGTGCTGTTGATTCCAAACACACACCACAGGGACCAAACCAGCAAGTGCTTGGAGAGCAAACTGTGCCCTGGGGAACATGCAAGGGGCAGTTTGGGCCCAGGTCCCCCTGGTTTGGGATCAGGACTGTCCTTTCAGGCAGTGGCTTCCCATTTTTGTGATAGAAGATGGGGACAGTATCCCCATCCCATGCCCTGCTGTCCCGGCACTGCCCCCCCATTGAGCTGTGCCAACCCTGGGAGCATCATCAGGGTCAAATAGACCCTGGTTTAAAAAGAAAATAAGGAGGATATTGTGGCTTTTTCTTCTGGAAGCAGTGGAGGATTTTGCTGGAGAGGGTGGGATGTCTTCAATGTCTGTGCTTTGGTGGCACTAAATGCTCCTTGATGAGAACAGGACTTTCCAGTCTCTCCAAGGTGTTTCAGATCCAGGTCCTTCCCACCCCTGCCCAGGCACGGGGTGGGCTCATAGTCTGCTCTCCCACACAGAGCTGGAAGGACACAGTGCTGGGTGTCCCCGGGGTGGCAGCAGCCCTGTCCCATGGGAGCAGGAGCAGAGCTGGGCTCCTCTCCTGGGCTCCAGCCCAGGGGACCGGAGCAGCTCCAGCTCCATCTGCACTGAGGACTTCGCTGCCAGGTTCCAGGAGGGAATGGTGCTGCCTGAGGAGGAGGAAGATGAGCTCACTGGGATTGTCCCCACTGAGGGAGCTGACCCTGGGCAGGATGAGTCCTTGTTCCCCACAGGGAAAAGTCTGGATGTCTGGAGACAGCTGGTGACGGATCCAGGCAGAAAACTCCAGGGGGACAGGTCTCCATCCCTGATGAGGAGGGGGAGCCTGGAGTCTCTGGGAGCCAGGATATCCCGGCTGAGCCAGAGCCCTGTGCTGGGGGAGGCCTGGGGGGAGCCCTGCCCAGCCCCCCTTGCCCAGCCAGCCCTGGGCCAGGGGGATCCTCCCCAGGGGGGTCCAGGCTCCAAGGAAGACCTGTTGGCCTTTGCCCTACCTGGGCATCCTCTGAGGACTCCAGGGATCTCTGCTGGCAGGAGCAGGGCTGGGGCAAGGACAGGCTCTGCCAGTTTGCCTGGGGCCAGCAGTGCCAGGACCAGGGGACATCCCTCCAGCAAGGCCCTGGGCCAGAGGCTGCAGGAGCCACCAGCTTTCCGGGGACAGAGCAGAGGGAATGTCACCCTGGCTGTGGATGACACGGAGAGGGAAGGAGCAGGCAGCAGGAACAGAGCTCTCCGCTTGGATCACCGTGAGTCGGGGCTGGCGGGGGGTGCTGGAGGAGGAGGGAGGGTGGGACAAGAGGGGGAAGGGGCACGGCCGGGCCAGGGGCCCTCTCTGGGCAGGGCACGGCATCAGGACCAGCCCCAGCTGCTCGTGGGGTTTGTCTGGGTTTGGAGCTCCCCCTCCCCAAAACGCCCCTTTCCCTGCAGGTACTGAGGCAGCACCGGGAGCACTGGGAGCACTGGGAGCACCGGGAGCACTGGGAGCACTGGGAGCCCCCGGGCGATGTGGGGCCGGGACAGGGGTGCCACCTGTGTCCTGGTGGCAGCGTGGGAAGCACAAGGTGGGGCTGTCCTGCCAGGTACAGCCCTGGGCTGGCTGGGGTTTGGGGGGTGCCCAGGGGGACAGCCCTGGCCATGGCACCGGGGTGGGGGGCAGGGGGAGGGGGGATGTTCCCGGCTCTGCCTTCTGCCGGGACGTGGAGACCAGTGGGGATGGGGACAAGAGACCGAGCTCGGCCCCGGGTCTTGTGTCCCACGTGGTGGCCATGGAAATGCACATGGAAATGCCCATGAAAAGGAGCAAATGGGTTTGTAACCCCACTCTTGGATGCCAGCGTGCAGTGGCGCAGCCGGTGTCACTGCAGAGGAGATGGGAGGGGACACGAGAGCCGGGATCTGGTGCCAAGACTCGGAGTGGAGGGGACAGAGCCAGGTGTGCCGGGGGCTCCAGGGATGGGTCCTGCACTGAGGCTGGAGAAGAGGATGGTACCAGAAGCCCGAGAGGGTCCTGGACCACCAGAGGGGGTGGACACCCTCCTGGGAATGTCCAGAGCCGGGGAATGGTGACACCAGGGATGTGGGTGACGGTGTTCCCACTACAGGGCTGGCTTGGCACTGCTGCCACACACCTGGGACAGCTGGCACAGGCACCCTACTGACCGGGAGAGGATGGTGAGGTGACCTCGAGATGGCCCAAGCAGGGGCAGGGACAGGCTGGGGGTGCCATTGAGTGAGGGGCAGAGGGAGGAGCGGCTGCTCCTGCCGCTGATGGGAGGGGCGGAGCTGGCCCCTGGAACGGGCAAAGACGTGGGAATGGGAAAAGAGGGGGATTTTCCAGTCTCGACAGGGGCAGGGAGCCTGTGCCGGCTGCTGGGAGCGGCTGGGGAAGTAGAGAAGGAAAATGTTGACTTTGCAAGAAGAGAAATTGGAGCTACTGAAGGTCAGTGAACTCCCAGCTTTCCAGTGGGGCCGAGATCACACCAGAGGGGCCGTGGGAAGGAGCACACACATCACACCCCTGTCAGGGCCCCTTTCCAGGCACGCACATGGCCCATGGGAAGAGTTCTGGGCTGCCCAAATTCCTAAAGAGCCAAACTAGATCTGTCCCCAGGAAGGTTTTATTGAGGGGCTGGAGCTTTTAAGAGAAGAGTTTGTTGGGAAAACCACCCTTGTGGCTGTAGGCAGATGAGGTGGCTGGTCTGCAGGTCAGAAGGTCCCTGGAGACCCCCAGCAGAGGCAGGGAGAGCTGGAATGTTGGGGTGGGCAGGGTGAGGATAACCAGGCTGACAGCACTGACTCACCAAACCCCAGCTCTTTCCTGGGGAACATCAAGGCTGAGGTGGTGCCACTCTGGCCAGGAGGGACTCGGGCATCCTGCCTGGAAACTGCCCCTGGGAAGAGCCTTCCTGGCCCTGGAGGGTGGCCACGGGCAGCCAGAAGGGGTGATGTGACTCCAGTCTCTCTTGCAGAGGCTCCGGGAGTTGGAGCAAAGCAGCCGCTCCCTCCTGCAGCAGAGGCTGGAAACGCTGCACCAGCTCCACGGGCTGCTCCTGAGGGAGAAGGTGGACACCCTTCGGCAGCTCCAGAGGACCCTGGAGCAGGTCAGGAAGGGAGAAGGGAATGACAGGGATATGAGGCAGTGCCAGGGCACCCCATGGTGGGGCACATCCAACCACAGCTGAACTGCAGAACCAGGGGCTGTGGCCCACCCTGAGGGGGATCAGCCTGGGGAGCACAGCAGCCCAGATGTGCTACTCCCTCGAGGTCATCCAGATGTTTTTCCCTCCCCACGAGAAGGGCTGGTGGGGATAGAGGGCTCTGCTGGGTGCATTGGGCAGCAGGCTCAGCATCCTGCCTCTCAGGGCATGGTCTGTGCTGGGGATGGCTCGGGGGGGAGATGCCCCCCGGGTGCCTCCAGGCTTGTCCTGCTCGTACCAAACCCCTGCCCAGCCCTGGGTGGCTCCAGGTTTTCCCTGGAAGCTCTGACATGGCTGCAAGGCCAACAGCTTTCACAGGAGAGGCTGAGCGGGCTCGGGGGGCAGAGCTGGTGGTGCAGGTGCCGCTCTGATCCCTCTCTCCCGACACTGCTCCCCAAGGAAAGGGCTGGCAGGAGCGCCCGGCTGGAGCATCTCCCGGGACATCCACGGGAGCCGGCTGTGCAGGGGCGGGCTGGGCACCCCCCGGCCATGGAGACCCTCTCTCTGTGCCCGTGCCAACACCAACCCCTCCCCAGCAGTGCCCCGGGACGGGGCCCCTCCCTGGCGGCGGGCGGGTGAGTCCCAGAGCCGCAGGTTCGGCGGGAGGGAGCTCGGGTGGGTGATGGGGGTTCCTGCGCCCCCGGCCCCTCTGCGAGGAGCCGCTCGGTGCCCTCGGACACTCCGGCCCCTCGTCCCTCCCTGTCCTCTCCAGCTCGTCCCCCCCGTCCCACAGCCACGCTCTCCACATCCTGCGGGGGCTCCGGGAGCACATCCAGCGGCGCCTCCGGGAGTGGCAGAGGGTGGAGGGAGCCCTGGGACCTGCTGGACAGAGGAAGAAGGTGATTTGGAGGTGGGGAGGAGGGTCTGAGAGGTGGATGGAATCCATCAGCCTTTGGAGGAATCCACATTCCCGGTTCCTGGAGCCCACCCCTTGGAGCGCAGGGCGGTGGGATGTCCCCACAGATCCCGAGTGTGACGGGAGCGGGGCCACCCGTGTGTCTGTCCCCGTGCAGGAGCGGGGGCAGAGGCAGCAGCCGCAGCAGCCCCGCACGGACGAGGCAGCAGGCTCCAGGAGCCCGGAGGGAGCAGCTGCTCCAGGGAAAGGCTTCAGGTCCTGCTCCAGAGCTCCCCCCTGGCAAGGCCGGGGTGGGGGCTCAGGTAGCTCTGTCTCGGGGGGGTTGGGGTCTCAGTGACCTGCAGGGACCCCCAGCTCACCCCCAGAGGCTGCGTGTCCAGCACTGTTGGTGATGTGTTGGGTGATGGAGGAATCAGACATGTGATGGCCCCGTGTGCCCACGGCTGGGCTCCAACCCCAGCCCAGGGAGGAGGGAGCTGTGTGAGGGACCTTCCTGACCCTTCCAAACCTGGGCTGACCATTCCCTCTCTCACACAGAGTGAACACCTGCACCCCACTCCCACCTTGTCCCTGTCCCCAAGCACTACCCCCTTGGCACAGCCCTGGGTCTCCAGGGCTCCTGCACCATCTCCAGAACAATTTGCAGGAGCTGCAGCTGGAGAAGACACAGCACGTGGGGAACCTGAGTGTCCTGGGGGGAGAGCTGGGAAGCACAGCAAGAGAGGAGGTGCAGAGACAGCCAGGGGACTCACCCTGTGCCACAACCTCAGCCCAGGGATGGATCCAAACAAGGAGGAGCTGCAGAGCTCCACTGAGGATCATGCCAAGGGCAGACCTGCCTGGTGGGAACAGTCCTGCAGCAGAGCTGGGACACCAGGGCTTGTGTCTGACCTGGAGACCTCGGGCAGGTCCCACCACCACCAGCAATATGTGCCATGGAATCAGTGATACCAGGGTTGTTCGTTGATCCTGAGGGGACCTGCTGGTGGGATGGCCATGGAGGTCCCAGGGACCCTTCTCCTGAGCTTGCCTGGATGAAGCACAGGGTCCTTACACTCCCCTTCCCACTCTACAGCTTCTCCTCTCCTCAGTCTCCCCTCCCCGGGACACAGCCCTGGGGTCCCTCTCACAGCAGCTGGAGGTGACATTTCCTTTGCTGTCCCACCATGAGGACACACATTAGGTTGGATATTGGGAAAATTTCTTCTCTGAAAGGGTTGTTCAGCCCAGGCACAGCTGCTCAGAGCAGTGGTGGAATCACCATCCCTGGGAATGTTCAAAAATGAGCAGATGTTGAAACCAAGCAAGGGCTCTGAGATGCTGGAATTCTGTTCTGGGGAGATGTTACAGCCCCTCGCTCTGAGGAATAAAACATCAGTGTTAAGGGACAAGTGGTGCCCTGTTCCAGAGCTCTGCCTACGTGTGTTCTGTACTAATGAAAAGAGAACAGAAAGGTCAACTTAGGAGTCATGAATTAGATAGAATGGACATCCAGGGAGATAAACGAGCTGCATCAGGGGGATTTTCCCAAGCTCCCAGCACGTAGTAAGGAAAAGTTGAAAAGTTCGTGACGAAGAAGAGTAGAAGAGCCACCCTCCTGAGGCCAAAGAACAGGAACAACCCCCAGAAAACTCCCCAAAAAGAATGACTCCACCTCAAGCTCTGCCTAAACTCTGCCTATTATGAATATGATAAGTAGATTGTGAAATTAGAGTAACATGCAAAGATGTTGTAATCACTCATGAAAACTGTATAAATTACTTGACTTTTCACTGAGAACTTTGGAGCTGGTTTGTGCAGCAAGAGCTGCCCAGCACCCCAGTGTTGCTCAAAACAAATACCTTTGCTGCTTAAAGACCCAAACTGGTCTCTGAGCAGTCGTATTTCTACCTTTTTGGCATCAATGTGGCACCCAGGCACATGGTTTAGTGGGCACTGGGGGTTTTGGTCAAGGTTGGACTTGATGACCTTGGAGGCCTTTTCCAACCTTTGTGATTCCATGATTCTTTGTTTTCTCCCAGGACACCGAGGCCCCAGCAGGGGCTGCCATGAAGATGAGGTGTCACAGCCATGGAGTTCCAAGAACCTGCAATGAAAAGCACAGCAAAGCTCCTGCAAATTCCTCATTATGAGCTTGTGGTGGCTCTTGGAGCTGCCAAGGGCCCTTGGGAAGGGGGATCTGCCCACGCAGTGCTGGGAGCACCGACCCTGGGACAGCTGTGGGCAGAAAGGTTTGATGGAAAAACAATGGGGAATTGTTCTGTTCAGATGCTTTAATTTAATTTTGAAAAGGAGAAACCTCTTCCTCAGTCTCTACACAGCTCTCTGGGGCAAGGCTGGTTTTAATTCCACGAGAACATCCAAGGGGACTTTCTCCCCTTGCAAGGGGGGAGATGAGAATTTCTGGCGGTATTTTATTACTACACTTTGTTCTGGGGGAAGGGATGAGAATTGGAATATCTGTGTGCTTTCCTTCCAGTGAAAAGAAAAGTGTTTTTCATTTTGTTTCTCTGCAATGTGGGCTCGGGGAGGTTCCTGAAATCCCTTGCTGAAGTTCCTCTGTTATGATTTTCCTTCTAAGTTTCACCAGCAGAATGTGGCACAAGCTGCATCTTTTCTGCAGAGCTTTTAATTAAAACCCAAATACTTGCAAGGCTCCATGAACGTTTTTGCCAACATCAGGCTGAGGTTCCTGGTGTCGTGTCAATGAAACCAGGAGAGGGAAAACTGATCCATCAGCAGAAGATAGATGGACAAATGGCTCCCAAATCTCTGAATGACCACAGCAAGGTCTTTGTTATTGTAGACTCACAGGATGGTTTGGGTTGGAAGGGACCTTAAAGTTCATCCTGTTCCACCCCTGCCATGGGCAGGGACACCTTCCACCAGCCCAGGTTGCTCCAAGCCCTGTCCAACCTGGCCTTGGACACTTCCAGGGATCCAGGGGCAGCCACAGCTTCTCTGGGCAACCTGTGCCAGGGCATCACCATCCTCACAGGGCACAATTTCTTCCCAATCTCCCATCTATCCCTGCCCTCTGGCAGCTCCAAGTCATGGGCATGAAGGTTTTGATCCTGGAAGAGGCTGAAGACATAAAGTGGAAGATCCCTCATGATGAACTTTGCTTTGGTGATGGACTTTCACGACGAAACTTTTTGGTTCTTCAACAATTCCTGGACACGTTGGGGTTTTCAACACTGGCCTGGGAGAAACCTTTCCAGAAGGTGTGAGGCAGTGGATGGAGTTAGACTGTAGCACTTTTGCTCTTTAAAATATGCAGGAATTAACTTTTCTTTTCCAATCTTTGACCTTTTTTCCATGGGATGCAGTTGGGAACCTGCTCGGCACAGACACTGCAGCTCCTGCTCTGGCTGATGCTGCTGGTGCTGTGTGAAGGAATTGGGATTGCTTTGCTCTGGGGCCATCCAGAGGATTTTGGGATTGCT